GTTCTGAACACCCTAATTCTAGTTTGCAGTACACAAACTAGGTCAGAGTAGGCAAGCAACACCTACACTGATAATGCTCTCAACCACCCCATACCATGAAACCTTAGCCTTGCTTTAACACTTTAACAGGAACAGCCACATTGTTCAGAGAGCAACATCCTGGAATGCAATCACACTAAATTTTGGGGTTTTTTGTGAAAGAAAGAGTGAAGAAGTCAGAGATTAAATAATGCAAGCTAGAAAGATGTTGGGCAGATTCTTAAAAATTAAAGCTTTCTGGAGGGTCACTGCATGGAATCCCCTTCTAATGATATCAAGCAAAAAAAATATTAAAAATAAATCCTTGAACTTGACATTTAAATGTAATAATATCACATTACTAGTGGCGCCAAGAGAAGTTTAGCCAAAGTATTTGGGCTTTATTTCCTTTTTTGGAAAAATAGTACACAAAAAAATGAAGTGTCTTATGACATTAAAAAAAATCTACTGAAGATTATTCACTTAGTGTAATAAACACATACAGTTTTTATAAGGTGCTTTATAAACTTGTTAAACAATGTCTGCTCTGAGAGTATGTAAAATGGATCGCCTTTGAAATAAAACTTCGTATGTACTGAGATACAACAGCTAGCATCATTAGCTTACTCTAACCAACAGAGTACCAACACAATAAAAAGAGTCAATTACTTGGCTTATAAAAATTTACTGTGTCTACAAATTCTTTCCAATTACATCAAGTGTACCAACTATAGAAAGGAATAGAAAGTGGACTTTTCTTAAGTCAGCAACAGTTTGCAATAATTCCCCTCTTGTCACCTGATAAAAAAACAGCAGGACAAGGTTGCCCAGCACAGCATGCTCTCAGCATCAAAGGTGATGTGCTTATCGAGAGTAGCAAAGAAAACAATCGACAACCATAAAGTCCAAACCTGAAAAACAAACTTGAGAAGAACTTTGCTTTAGGATTCCAAGGATCTACTCATGCTTCGCTTGTCTTCTGATTTACAATAAACCCTCTCTTCAGCTGAACACAAAGGGATGAAAGAGATGGACAGGGCGATCTGTTGAGTTGCATAGTTCAATAACGTCTGACAGCTCAGGACAAGCCCCGAGTTCAGAGAGCCACAAACCCTACAGTTTGTAGGGTGTGATGATCGGTACATTCACTGTGCCTCAGGGTGGGTGCTCCCCATGCAGGAATTGCCTGCAGCCCTCCTCAGTGGGCCACTCCTGCTCTCAGCAGGGCCAGGGCGAGTGGTGCTATGCAGCAGGGAAACACCAAGAGGCTGAGAGGACAAACAAGCGCAAACCGGGCAGTGGCAGCTACAGCATCACACCTAAAGTTCAGGAACAAAATGCATACCAAGAACACTAAATTACAGCAAAAAGGCTGAATTATTGGTACACAGCAACAAGGCTCAGGAAAGAGAGAAAAGGAAAAGATGAGCTAAAAGGCTTAAGCTATTTAAACCTAATGAAGACCTGTGATTCACTTGGATAGCTGAAACTGAAGCAGGGAATGCCTTCAGTTAAGGAGAGTTCACAACAGGACTCAATGGTTAAACTTCATTTATATTTTCTTTAAAGCAGACTGCCTACATCACTGTTACCCGACACTACTCAAAAGGCACAGCACGATGCCATTCCAGCTGAAAGGCAAGCAGCGAAATGGGCAATGCAGGGTAGAGAGAAAAAATAAGGTTTAAAAATAAATTTTAAAAGAACACTTTGAGAGTGTTTCTTTTTTTTCTTTTTTTTCTTTTTTTTTAATTTTTTTTCCCTTGGCCATAGCACACGGTCACACAAGTAATTGGATCTTCACAACAGATTGGTTTCTCACTGCTGGCTGTCCCAGCTCACCCTCTCCTGCACCAGCTCTGGTGTTTTTGTGACTCTGGGCTGAACTGCTTCTGTGTTAAGTCAGCAGAAAACTAAGCCAACAAAAAAAGCAATAGGTTTCTCCTGGGATGTCATGCAAAAACAGTTGAGCACAGGCTGAGAAAGGAGACAGGCTTAGCTGCCCTGGCAATGCAGGCTCAGTCTGGTCAGCTAGTGCATCCACAGTAGCTTTACTGGCACTTGAAAGCTCCAAATGAGGCTTTAATACTATAAATATTTATTCCAGCAAAAACACCATCTTATGTGGCATTATCTCATCTTCCCCCTGTCACACAAAGCTGTTTGCCCAGACACTGTCTGTTGAGGGGGAAGGAAAGGCTTTTTTTTGTTGTAGTTGTTTTCAGTCGAGACCAAGTGTCCAGCTGAGCTTGTCAGGTGGCTCTGGGAACAGGTGTGCTGGTGAAACAGGGGCTGCAAGGGACTGGAAACAGGCAGCTGCAGGAAGGAGGGAGCTCAAACCAGGACAGAGAGTTAAAAAAGTCTGTGTTTGTAAAACTGTGTTGCAAATTCAAGCCATGCTATTCTCCTCAGTACTGTCCACACACTTAACAGGAAATTCTGCTCTAAAATAAATGTGGTGTAAGTGAAAAAAGAAAATAATTACAAGAAATAGACATAAACACTAAATATATAAAACAAATATATGAATTATATATTTTCTCTATCATCATCCCATCTCACAGTGAGTGAGCTAACGTATGTACATTCAGATATTGATTCTACTATTCAGGAAAGTAATTTAATTGCAGAATATGTCACAGATTTCTAATGTTCCCGCTTTGGATGCAGCTGAGAGTAATCTCATAGCCTGTGGTCCCTCAAATGTCTCTCCCCGCCACATGGCTCTGCAAGATACTTTACTCTTAGCACCTTTTGAGTTCTTTCCTCAGCTTATATAACTAAGCGACATGGCAGGGCTGTAATCACTCATACAAGATTTAATGAGTGCCAGAGCTAATACATGAGAACACTCCCAAAAGAGAAATGTGGAACAGCAAAAACTTCTACTTTTAGCAGGAGTGAATGAACTTACTCAGCTACTTCCCTAACTGCAGCATAGCTGTCCTGCACCCTGGCTGTCTGAATTAACTAGAGGATCAGCTTTCCCCTTGGAATTTCAATGGCCACAGAAAGCTCAGGCAAACTCCTGTGAGCAGGAATGCAGTGGAGTTTCTTGCTGCCTGCTTTGCTGTGCAGATTCACAAGGCACTGGGCCCTCCATCTGTATGGATGCCACCTCAGTGTGGACTGGTGAGCACTTTGGAGCTGTCATTTAGATTTCAGTTGTGTAGGGTAGGACAGGACAGTATTTAACAAACCAGTGTTGTCTCTGCCCAAGCACTCTGACTAGTTACCAGAAAAAAAGTAATTTTTTAAACCATAAAGCTTATGGTAATTACAACCATTAGAACAAATATTTACACTTGTGACTACCTGAAAAGTTTATTTAAGTAGGCCGCTCTAAAACTATTGCTTTTAATAATCTAACAAAGGACTACAAATCATGCTGAAGTTCCTGGCTCTGCAGAGCAAAGGCAGTCTTATTCTGAAGCCAGTTTCATGGGGATTTGTGTTCTGTGGAATAGAATCTGAACAAGAGCCCTTAGCTGGCAACACACAAAGGTTTTCCTATATTGAAGCTACGCTGCTTTGTCTCCCAGCAGAGAAACTGGAGCCAAAGACACACAAAGCAGAAAAGAGCGTTAAAGACAAACAGGTGGATAAGACTGAAAAAAGCACAAGAAATGCAAGGATTTGCTCTCTGTGCCTGAGGGACACACTTAATGGAAGGGAATCCAAATCGAAGGCAATACATTTTGGACTCTGAAACCTGGATCAAGACTCAAGACTGTTGCCAGCATCCCTTCATTCAGTTAACACACAACTGACTCCTCACTTGAAAAGGCTGCACACTGCAGAAACAAAGTCATTTCACGTGGCTTATGAAAAATGTTAGCTACCCTAAATTCGTTTGCTCTTCATTCCACAAAGCCATGTAACAATGAACATGGCCCAATGAAACAGGAATTCAACTATCATTAAATAAATGCATTCAGAATGCAAGACGCACTTCTTTGAATGGATGTTTGATTAACAGAGGGAAAAAAACAGACCTTTAAGATGCACAACACTGTAAAAAACAATCCTTTCCTGTATGTAGGTATGACATAAGCATATACATGCATGTTTCTCTACTAGTTTAAGGGGGCTAGCATAATAAACCTCATTTTTCACATTGCTGCATCTTTTCAAGGGCATTGTTCCACAAGTACTCAAACTTCAGCTTTAGGATTAAGGTAATCCAACCTGGGTGTTCAGGACTCAGAAAAGAATGGCTGCAGCAGTGCAAAGGCATCACCAGTGAAGGGGCTGCAATGCCCCTTTTATTTAATTAATTCTAAGGTTTAAACACTCACAACAATTTTTATAAAAGCTAGTTCATTGTTCAGCCATGAGTTTATTTTGCCTGCAACTGTAAGCTCTGTGTGTCTATTGTTGCTTGTGAAGGCTGAATTCCTCTATAAAAAGAGTCAGCACACTCAAATGCTTTCATGGGAACATAAGGGCCTCACGGTGAGGTCTGACAATGCAGCTGGACCAACCCAATGGCTCACAGCCACATAATTCTCACAAAATGTGAGAATTAATATTTTCTCTACCTTGCCTCTGAACTGGCTCAGGGGCACCTGACCTCTGATTTGGCTGAGTTTACTGAACTGGTAGAAAAATAATTCATCAGGAAAAAAAGAGTGGTTTCTGTTGGCTTATCAAGTGAGGCCAGATGAATGCTAATAGAATGAACAACAGGACATATCTTTAAATGCAATCCAGTCATTTGACTGGCTCAGCCACCTTGTGCAGTGAACAGGTCACCTGTGAGTCAAACATGGTGACAGGACCATGGTGACAGGACTTGAGACAAAAGGCAGAGTAAGAGAAGAAGTGCTTTTGTCTTATTACACATTCACTTTAAGATTATTTTATACTGATATTAATAATGAAGTAGTGTTCTTACCATTAATTGCTACTTTTTTCCATTCGTTTGCATCATTGTCAATTTGCTAATAGATCGTAATACAATAAACTGAATATTTACTTACCTACAAATCCTTTCTCTCCAACTAATTTAAGAGCAATTTTATCTGCCAAAACAGAAGAATTTCCATGTGCAATGTTAGCAAAAGGTCCAGCGTGAACAAATACTGGTGTTCCCTGGGTGATAAAACAAAAAAATTTAGGTAAGTAATTCAATGTATAGACACCATGGTTTAACCCCAGCCAGTAACTCAGCCCCACACAGCTGATTACTCACTCCTCTATCAGTGGGATGGGTGAGCAAATCAGAAGGGTTAAAGTCAGAATACTCCTGGCTTGAGATAAAGCCAATTTAATAGGTAAAGAAAAGACTGCACACACACGACCAAAGCAAAACAAGGAATTCATTCCTGCTTCCCATGGGCAGGCAGGTGTTCAGCCCAGGAAAACATGTGTAATCATATGTAATTTGTTACTTGGAAAGACAAATGCCATCACTCCAAATGCCCCCCCTTCCTCCTTCTTCCCACAGCTTTGTATGCTCAGCACGATGCCACATGGTTGGGAATACCCAATTGGGGTCAGCTGTGTACAACTGTGTCCCCTCCCAATGTCTTGCCTACCCCACAGCCTGCTTGCTGGTGGGGTGAGAGGCAGAAAAGGCCTTGACTCTGTGCAAGCCCTGCTCAGCAATTACAGAAACATTCCTGTGTTACCAACAAATGCCAAGTGATGGCATTTATCTCCAGCACAAATCCAAAACACAGCCCTGGACTAGCTGATGTGAAGATAACTAACCCTATCCCAGGCCAAACCAGCACATTATGTAAGAAACTCAATAATTTTTCAGACTTATCAAAGTCACAAATAAATCAAAGCACATATAGCAAGGAAATGCTATTAGACAACTTAGGGGAACATGTCAGGTGCTTGAGACCTCATTTGCCTGTTTCATTCCTAGAAAGGTAATAAACAGTAGTGCAAACCTACATAACTTCCTCATCCTACCTTGTACTAGTTCATGTTTTATATTTCCACAGCTGTAATACTGTGGTGTGCTATTGTGGCACAATCCTGTTAGAAGCACTAAATGCAGCACTGCAGACACCCAGGGAAGAGCCCAGCTCCAGCCCTGTGTGCTCCTGTTTTCCTCACTGGCTGCAGCAGCCATTCCTGTGCTGGCAGGGGAGCCAGCAGAAGCTATGAGGGACCAGAGTCAAGGGTGAGAGGGAAATGGCAAGGGATGTGCCGAGGTGCAGTGGGGATACTGACACAATGGAAAACACATTCACTGCTGCTGGAAGCCCAGGTCCTGCACTAAACATACAGGGAAAATTGACAGAGCTGATTTTCCCTGTGTAAATACAAATACATGGTGTCTATGTCTAATGGCATACTCCTTGCCTCTCCTTTTTCTCGTTTAGATTGGTTTTCCAATCTAAACGAGAGAAAGGAGAGGCGAGGAGCAAGCAAATTAGCTATGTATAGGGAATTTGTGAGGTAGAAAGCAGTTCTCAGTTTCTCTTTTATATTTTTGGCAGGGACCCAAAGGAAAGGAGAAATTAGAAAATAAGCACTCTCAGAAGGGATTAGGATTAGGTGAGATTACATTAACTGCTGTTTTTTATCTCTAAAACAGAATACACAATCAGACAGAAGAATGTCACTTCAGCTGTTCTACTACGAAATACTTAGGCAAACAAATGCCCATTGTTGTGTTTGTGCATCTTAAAGCACCCAGCTGGTTAAAGAAAAGGTAAGCAGACAATTTCACATTATTTCCATCGATGTTCTTCTCACATTCTGTACTAGGAGATAGTGCCAGCCCTCAAAATTTCAGACAACCTACCAGGCAACCTCCTTCAAGTTTTGGCCAGAAACACCAGTTGAGGAGGACAGAGTTCTATGGATCAGCTGCAGGGCACATCTAATAGTGCCCTGAACCACAGCTTGGAAACCATTAACCATAAAATACAAGTTGGTTCTGCCTCCTCCCTTCCCCCAGCCACCAGTAACTTAAGGAAACAACCTACATATGAAAATCTCTATTTCACTGCTGTAATCTAAGTGGTATTTTACAGAAAACATGGACATTTTAGTAATGATGACTAGAAATCATATACAAAAATGATGTATCAACACAAAGCATCTCTTATTATTGTTTCCTTGGAAGTAATAGCATATAATTAATTGTTTTGCTCAGAGGAAAGACAAGCAACTTTTTAGCCACTGCCACATGCACACACATGGGTAGGGGCTGTTCTCCAGGAACAACACAATTAAGCTGCAAGTCAGATAACTGCCTCATACATGTTAGAGTAGAAACAGGAGCCAAAAAAGTAAATGAAGGAGAAATCGTGCCCTGTAACAAGAGAACTGATGTAGATCACTATAATCATAACATAGTGCTTACTATGGGTTAGCTTTTTTTCTTGTTTTCTATCTGCTAATGGACACATACTGCAAAATCAACTGAGATTTTACACAGGTACACAAAAACTTAACATGAACTACAAGTACCTTCAAAGCTTCTTACTTAGGCATCAGACTAATAGATGCCATGCAAAATATGTTATCCCTATCCCAAAGAGCTTGTAACATACAAAATCAAATGCAAACAACTCTCATCAAACTAAGTTGAAGCTTTACTTCTACTTTAATCCAGTATTTGGCATTCAAATAAGTAAGGCCACAAATTTCCAGCTACCAGACTCAGATCCATAAGGCTTTTCCCAATTTGTCTTTTATTACTCAGTAAGACTAATTTTACTCTTCTAACCCCTAATTTCTTGTGGCAAGCAATCACAGGACTGGTCTTATTAGAGCCCAGAGCACACACGGGGCAGATGTGATGCACGGACCCACAGCCACTGGCAGTGACTGGGCAGCCCAGCACACACTGCAGCACCCACGCAAAGAGAGGGGCCAGAAAGGTCTCCTCCCACATTCCCTGTGCTACTGTGCTTCCAAGAGTTCATCCACACAACATGGATAGGAAGGGAATGTGGACTGCAGGGTCCAAAATCCAGAATATTGGAAGTCAAGAGGCTCCCATGACTAACTTGAAATCCAAACATACTACTAAATCACTGGCATAGACAGATGCTCCCCTGAGCTTTGAAATCCACCAGAAGGAAAGGAAGAGCAATTGGAATGTTTTTTAGAAGAGCAATCCTGGAAGTAGACCCTAGGTACTGAAGAGAGTGAACTCCAGCAGGACCTTGGGAGCCTCAGGCACACCTTGGAACAGGGACAACAATGTCTTCTCAGGCCAGCTTTAGTAACTGTGCCAGTCCATCTGTCCCATTTATTTCTGCTACACTCTTAACAAACTATATGGAGAACCCAACAGTGGCACAGGGATACATTCTGCTGACTGCTTTCAGTACAGAAAATATTATTATCCAAGTTTCAGTAAAAGAAAATAAACCCCGAATGTCAATAAATATCTGAAGTTATCTGGCCGCTAGCAGGATGTTTATAATACTTATTACCATTCTTCTCTCATCTTTACTGTGAGTGGCACTTCAAAAGTAACACAACAAACCACCCCAGAGCAGCCAGCCTGCAACTACAAAGGGCTGTCCCATAGAGCAGCTGCTCTGTTACGCATGGTATAAATAAATGCTGAACATTAAGGGATCAGTCGACAAGAGAACAAATCTGTCATGAGGAACATAGATAAACACTATGAAATCATTATGTACATTCCAAACAAAGTAATCTCAATTCTACAGCACTGGATATAAGTAAGCTCCACCAAAGTCTTTGGTTATTGTAGATGGAGTGCCCTGTGTCTCCCATTTTCAGATTTTTACTGTCATTCCTGCATATAAAACACTGTCAATCAGTAACACTTTCAGGCAGAATTTCTGGTGTCAGAGTAGCAGGACTGTGACAGAAAGCAACCCACCAAGAAATCTCTTTAAAAACCAGTAAATTAAACCACACATCAATTCACATATGAAAAAAGCACTGACATAAGTTGCCAGTTCAGTTCCATGCAGGACTGACATTTGGTAATTTTTGATTTATGATCTTCTAAGCCTCTTCTCCAGTGCATGCAGACATCATATAAAGTTGGTGGAAATCTACTGAGCGTGTTGTTCTTCTCCCTTTTCACAGGCCCTTAGAAGCAACTCCTCAGACTGCCATGGCTTAACACAATTGCCATCCACAGGTTTGTGGCCAGACCACAGAGGAGTGCAGCTGCACTGGCTACTTCTATTTGCCTGCTCTCTCTGCAATGGCCCCTTCCAGTCACTGCTATCCACAGTCACCATGACTTACAAATTATGCCAAATCAACTCAGTCATCCAGAACTCCTGCTCTCCCTCATCCAGCAGTCTTTCTGCCATTCTCCAAAGTGATCTGGAAGATCTACTTTGGTGAACAGTTTTGTCCCTAATTGCCAGACAGGTCCATGGCACATTCTGAGCTATATCTGTGTTCTCTGTAATAATATTAATCTGTTTTTTCACCACCTATGTGCTGCAGAATTATTTCTAATTTTTCTGTTGTCAAATTGTGGTGCTGTTGCTAAAGGCCCTTACAGCTTTATGAAGAACTTGTTCTCCCCAAAAGGACTAGGATTATGTTGCCCAATTACTACTGGTAATCTCTTTGGAAACTTAAGATGCTAACTTTTGGATGCTACTTACTAGGTTTATTTCAAGTGCAATGTAGGTTTCATTATCCTCATTTCTGATTTGCAATTCACACATTCATCAGAAAGATGGCATTACTTAGAAGAAATACTACTACATCTACCACCCCAGGGTATACTAGGATAAATCTGGCTTAAAATCTGTCATGCTAGAGGGCTCTAAACTCACAAGTGGAGCACTAGAGTACACTCAAGTGAGCAGGGCACAACATCTTCCTTGTTCCCCTCCTTTTTCTTTTTCAAACTGAAGCTATTAAAAGCACCTCTTATAGTTATTCAGTTGAAGAATTAAAAATAATGAAGAGAGCTCAAGAGCAGCAATAGCACAGGCAGCAGTAGAGTGGGCACTGCATCCCCAGGAAGGCAAACAGTGTCCTGGGATGCATCAGGCACAGCATGGCCAGCCAGGCAAGGGAGGGGATTGTCCTGCTCTGCTCTGGGCTGGGGCAGCCTCACCTCCAGTGCTGGGGGCAGCTCTGGGTGCCACTGTGTAAAAAAAGACATTGAGCCA